TGGTCCCATGTGGTCCCATGTGGTCCCATGTGGTCCTGTGTGGTCCCATGTGGTCCCATGTGGTCCCGTGTGGTCCCATGTGGTCCCATGTGGTCCCGTGTGGTCCCGTGTTGTTTCGTGTGGTCCCGTGTGGTCCCATGCGGTCCCGTATGGTCCCTTGTGGTCCCGTGTAGTCCACGTGATTTATGTTGTCAATGTCATAAAGTCTTTCTTCGTGTTTGTTATTTGAGTGACAAAGATGTCGTCATGACAGTAATGTTGAATGAGCCAATTGAGGTGTCACGCGTTAGGAAATAGAACCGGTTTAGCTCGTGTGTGGCGCTAATTGTATATAAACTTGTTGGGCCCTTATATCGTGGCATAGACGAACTGAGTTGATGGACAAGATTGTAATGAACTAAAAAAGAAAACTCTAGTTACACTGAACACTTGCTTCGTGTCTGTTACTAATCAACTTATTTGAGTAGGCTATAGAGAAAGACAGTCTCAGTTCCAAAACAGGTGAGTATACGGTATATTTAAGCTATCCATTTAAAATAAATACATTTTCTGGTTGAATTAATATTCAGGTTCATTGATTAAATGTTTATTTGATAGTCAGTCGATGGTCGACCATGACCATTCTAAATAACGGCCTGTTGCCGGTGCTGGGTCTATATGTGGGTGCGCACATGTCTGATCAAGCCAATTCTGGCAAACAAAGTTCTGGTGCATAAAGTGCAGGGGGTGGATGGGACAACTCCAGGTACATAATTTGATATGGCTTTTCTGGCTTGTCTGTTGCTTTTTGTAGCAGCTGTTCTGTCAGCCTCATGTTGCATTGAGCCACTATGTATTAAGGAGCATCAACAGTCTCGATTCTTTGAGGACTTTTCCCATATGTCCGGGTCAATTTATCCGGGACAAAATCCTGCAAATTAGCATGTAATAGCAGCCCCATTGAGGTGAATTCTTTGGGCATCCATCTTTGCCCATGATCTTCCAGAGACCTTTTCTGCTGACAGTGTCGAAAGCATTGATGATAGGTCCACATAGGTGGAGTAAAGTCAAAATTTATTCCTGACACCTTTCTTGCAGATGTCTGGCAGCGAACACAATTTTGATATTTGCCATCTGTTTGCGAAAACCACATTGACTTCTGGAAGTAGATCCTTCTCAAGATGCAAATTGGAACAGTTTAGAGGAATTCTAGCTAGTATCGTGCCTGCAATTGAGAGCAAAGATATAACACGGTAGTTGTCACAGGCTTGATGGCTTCGTTGACGTTTTAACAAGTGGACAATGGCTCGGCCTCAAAATCTTGTGGTATTTTCTCTGGGAAGACTTTCAAACAAAGCTGTACCACCTAACTTGTAAATTTTAGCTGGGAAGGAGTCCTAGCCCGGAGCTTTGCCTCCCGAGAGAAGGCATAGTTAGTTAAATCTCATTTACAGTTGGAAAGTCTTCCTTTCTTTGGTTGATGGGTACCTGAGGGTTTCGATGTATGGCTTCTTCGTCGACAAGATGAAGGCCGAGTTAAGATGCTCTCAAAGTGCTCTGACTAGCTTCCGATATTTTTGTTTTCACTCCCAGTAATCAGAGTTTTCTCCCCAGCACACAGAAGTCGGGATGACGCTAATTAGGTGGGGCTAAAGAATTCTTTGCGAGCAAAGGAAGATATTTCTTAGATCGTGTCTGTGAGCATGTCCCAGGATCGTCTCAGCCCTGTCACTCAACTATTCACCCTGCATTTGACCTAGTTTTTGCTGCACCGTACTTCTTTTGTTGTTGTATGCGTCTTTCCTTGGATTAGAAATAGGAGTTTTAAGATAGGAGCTGTGAAGACGGTGTTTTCCTCCAACAGCTGCTTGATAACGTTATAGTTTTCATCCAACCATGGCTGCAAACTCGTTCAGGGGGTTGCCGTAAATCAATGCTGAACATTTACATGAACCGCCTATGTGCATATTTGTGGCTAAGGCTTTCATTTTACGCACTGATTTATAAACATGTATCCTTGAAGAGCCTGCGATCTTCAACACAGTACTTACAGAGAGTTCCTAGTATGGATGAACCCAGAAACAAGTCTTACTGAGAGCGCTCTTTTGAAGTGATAGCGCCAAAATTATGGAACAGTTTGCCTCAATCTTTGAGGGGAATTGAAACTGATAATAAAATCATTTAAGAAACATTTAAAAACTTTTTTGTTTCAATAGAAATCGGAAAACCAGAGCGCTATGGGCAGTGAGCAATGAGCATGCTAAAGTGGCATGGATACCAGCGCGATATACATGTCAAATCAATCAATCACTGAGCCACCTATGCCCATGTTTATGACTAAGGATTCAAGTGTACCAACAACTGTCGCTTCGCCGCAGGACTTTGTAGATGATGAAAATAAAAAGGAACATAATGAGATGGATGATCATTTAGATCGACTTGCGCATTGACGTGGGTTTAAGTAAGGAAGACTTGCGTCAAACTCATGCTCTCGTCCAACGTCATCTGCGTCCAGCAGGAAGAGTTGCGTCAAACTCATGCTCTAGTCCAACGTCATCTGCGTCCAGCAGGAAGAGTTGCGTCAAACTCATGCTCTCGTCCAACGTCATCTGCGTCCAGCAGGAAGAGTTGCGTCAAACTCACTCTCTCGTCCAACGTCATCTGCGTCCAGCAGGAAGAGTTGCGTCAAACTCATTCTCTCGTCCAACGTCATCTGCGTCCAGCAGGAAGAGTTGCGTCAAACTCACTCTCTCGTCCAACGTCATCTGCGTCCAGCAGGAAGAGTTGCGTCAAACTCACTCTCTCGTCCAACGTCATCTGCGTCCAGCAGGAAGATAAGGTCGAGACACAAGGGAACGGGATTGGGTGCTTTGAATGACCATGATGTTTTATGCGTCTTGCCATGCTCTGAGCTAAGCATATCACAATGTTGTCTCCACTTTTCTGCCCGATGACCAATGAGCGGATCTTCCGGATGCAGTCTTCACATACTTCGGGGGACAAACCATTGATTACCGAGTACTTGAAGTCGTTCTGATACTCACTTCCTCGTTTTGCAGACTAGTCGAAACTGTTATCCGTTGTGTGGCCAAAGTTCATGCTCATGCTTCTTGGTGCCACAGGGGAGCGTTGAGACAAAAAATTTATTAGCTATTACAGGTGAGAGTTGAGTCCATGTTGAGACCAACCATGTATTAGCTAAATCACAGGTGAGAGTTGAGTCCCATGTTGAGACCAACCATGTATTAGCTAAATCACAAGGGAGAGTTGAGCCCCATGTTGAGACCATCCATGTATTAGCTAAATCACAGGTGAGAGTTGAGCCCCATGTTGAGACCAACCATGTATTAGCTAAATCACAGGTGAGAATTGAGCCCCATGTTGAGACCAACCATGTATTAGCTAAATCACAAGGGAGATTTGAGCCCCATGTTGAGACCAACCATGTATTAGCTAAATCACAGGTGAGAGTTGAGCCCCATGTTGAGACCAACCATGTATTAGCTAAATCACAGGTGAGAGTTGAGTCCCATGTTGAGACCAACCATGTATTAGCTAAATCACAAGGGAGAGTTGAGCCCCATGTTGAGACCATCCATGTATTAGCTAAATCACAGGTGAGAGTTGAGCCCCATGTTGAGACCAACCATGTATTAGCTAAATCACAGGTGAGAATTGAGCCCCATGTTGAGACCAACCATGTATTAGCTAAATCACAAGGGAGAGTTGAGCCCCATGTTGAGACCAACCATGTATTAGCTAAATCACAGGTGAGAGTTGAGCCCCATGTTGAGACCAACCATGTATTAGCTTAATCACAGGTGAGAGTTGAGCCCCATGTTGAGACCAACCATGTATTAGCTAAATCACGGGTGAGAATTGAGCACCATGTTTGGACAAACGATTATTAGCTGATGAGAGAGCTGAACCCTATGTTGGGACCAACCATTGATTAGCAACCTCACAGGTGAGAGCTGAACCCTATGTTGGGAAAAACCATTGATTAGCAACCTCACAGGTGAGAGCTGAACCCTATGTTGGGAAAAACCATTGATTAGCAACCTCACAGGTGAGAGCTGAACCCTATGTTGGGACCAACCATTGATTAGCAACCTCACAGGTGAGAGCCGAACCCTATGTTGGGACCAACCATTGATTAGCAACCTCACAGGTGAGAGCTGAACCCTATGTTGGGACCAACCATTGATTAGCAACCTCACAGGTGAGAGCTGAACCCTATGTTGGGACGAACCATTGATGAGCTGCCTGACAGGTGAGAGCTGAACCCTATGTTGGGATCAACCATTGTTTAGCAACCTCACAGGTGAGAGCTGAACCCTATGTTGGGACCAACCATTGATTAGCAGCCTGACAGGTGAGAGCTGAACCCTATGTTGGGACCAACCATTAATTAGCAACCTCACAGGTGAGAGCTGAACCCTATGTTGGGACCAACCATTGATTAGCCACCTCACAGGTCAGAGCTGAGCGCCATGTTGAGACCAATCATTTATTAGCTACCTCACTGGTGAGAGCTGAGCTCCATGTTGGGACGAACCATTGTTTAGATACCTCGGAGGTGAAAGTTAAGCACTATGTTATGACCAACCATTGATTAGCTACCTCACAGGTGACAGCTGAGCATCATGTTGGGACCAACCATTTATTAGCTACCCCTAGGGATACGACTTCTATGCGATCAGAGTTACTCCCCCTCCATAAAATCCCCCACAATCCCCCATTTTTCTTCTTGAGTTATATAATCACGTGATTAGCTGAACACCCTTTCTCTCTCTCTCTCTCTCTCTCTCTCTCTCTCTCTCTCTCTATCTCTCTCTCTCTCTCTCTCTCTCTCTCTTTCTCTCTTCCTCGCTATCCACCCTCCTTTCAAACTAAATTTTCTTCTTGTGTTATATATTCACGTGATTATCTGCACACCCTCTCTCTCTCTCTCTCTCTCTCTCTCTCTCTCTCTCTCTCTCTATCTCTCTCTCTCTCTCTCTCTCTCTCTCTCTTTCTCTCTTCCTCGCTATCCACCCTCCTTTCAAACTAAAGATTACATTTTTATCTGGTAGCCGTAAATTTGACCGCAAGAAATTTGATTGACGGTAAATTGATCTATGGACATTTGATCGAACGGGAATTGGGTAGAATATTTTTTTAGTTCACACGTTAAAATTTTCGTCAAATTTCTTTTTGAACGCACTATACTATGTAATAAAACAAAATAATGCTTTCAAGCAGAAATTTAAAGGAAAATTTTAACGTAAAAACTGAAAAAGAAACATATTCGACAAAATTACCGTTCGATCAAAATACCGTCAATCAATTTACTGTCGACTTAATTTATTTCGATTAAATTTCAGAATATGATTATATCCATTGTATCTAATCTCTGTTAATTAAAAAAAAAGAAAGATATATCAGTGTAAGAAAATGTTTTTAATTATTAAAAAGGGATTAATTTTGCCATAAAATGACGTCATGAAAATTATAATTTAATTCAAATGAATGAAACATGTATTTCTTGTATTTTTAGCAAAAACTGCAGACGCAGAAAAAAAGTTAAGGATAGTCGTAAAAATAAAATCATAAGAAAAAGCCAATGATCAATACAAGCGAAATATTTTTATTTCATTCAATTAGCTAGTGTTCAAGACAAGGCAAATATACTTATGTATTTTCATTAGTCGCTACACATTTAATTAATTGGTAGTATTTTGTTTTCCGATTAGATCTAATTCTATAGTTAGAATTTTTAAAAAAATATTGTCTAATGTACTGTGTAAATCTAATGGATTATTTATTTTAGCATTGAGTATATATTGAACCTGTGTATCTATCTACATATGCACCAGACATCCAGACATATACACCAGACATCCAGACATATACACCAGACACAAGGATTGCGTTTCTATTTTAATTATGTGTCCCCATATACATCAGACATTTAACATTGATGAGCCATAGTACATATGCATCCACATATACGCCCAGGCATTAAGCTTTGATGAGCTATAATAAATATGTATCTACATATACTCCAGACATTTAGCATTGAGTAGCTGTTGTAAATATGTATCTACATATACTCCAGACATTTAGCATCGAGTAGTTATTGTAAATATGTATCGACATAAACAACAGACATTTAGCATTGAGTATCTATTGTACATTTGTAAGCTTACCAGATTTTCTGGCAGCGAAGTACGGACTCAAAGACACAGAGCAACCGTAGGCATAGCAGCAGGGGGGGGGGGTTGAGTGACGGGGTGGGTAAGGTTTCGTGCATGATGTTTAATATCCTTTTTGTACATAAGTTTATTACAAACTATAGTGAATATTTTGTAGACTCATGAATAGCTTTTAATTTTGTTTCCCATTCTCAAAAAGCATTTAAACAAACTGAGGACTGGCCCATATCAAAGATATGCTGACAATCAAAATAGCTCTAAGTGGTTACTTTCAGGACGATTTCTCAGGCGTCCCAACATTGTTTCCCTGAGAGAAAGCTTACTCCATGGGTGCCATTTGTGCCGGGAAGGCTAAATGAAAACCCAAGCAGTGGTGGAAAAGTTACAGAGGGTACATCATTTGCATTAAAATGATGAAGAATATTTTCACCCATTTTTGATCTACAAAAAAGTTTTTCGAGTTACATTGTTCCAGCTCAGTAGGTGACAGAAAATTACTTCACATAAATTAGCTCATAAAAGATATCGCTATCAAAAATTTTTCTCTGGGAAGAGTTCATTTATAGTATTAAGTAGGTTAACGAGACATGTCCCTCGCGATGGCGCTGAAACTTTTTATTCATTTGGCCTTGCGGAGTAATAAGATAATAAGTAATAAGATAAGCCATATAGAAATAAGGCTAGCAAGTTGTCGCTTCCGAAAATACGGAAAACCAGAATGGAAAGACGAGTGGAAAGTATGGACAAATACGAACGCAAAATTAGGCCGGACAAGGGGGTCGAAAATACAAACTGTCCGTACTAAATATGGACATTTGGTCAACCTAACATATACATCTACATATACATCAGATATTAAGGCTTCACAATAGGAAAGGTTTGATATTAGCATGCTATGTTTATGTGTTTTAAAATGTGAGTATGATCAATTTCAAATCATTAATTCAACAAGACAAAAATGCTGTTCACAAAAACAATTAGTACAAAATAATGAAATAATTGATATGGAAAACAAGAAATAGCGCAGTAAACTGTTATTTTATTAAAATGCATTACATATTATTGACACACGTGCACTACACGTTATTGACACACGTGCACTACACATTATTGACACACGTGCACTACACATTATTGACACACGTGCACTACACATTATTGACACACGTGCACTACACATTATTGACAAACGTGCACTACACATTATTGACACACCTGCACTACACATTATTGACACACGTGCACTACACATTATTGACACACGTGCACTACACATTATTGACACACGTGCACTACACATTATTGACACACGTGCACTACACATTATTGACACACCTGCACTACACATTATTGACACTCGTGCACTACACATTATTGACACACGTGCACTACACATTATTGACACACGTGCACTACACATTATTGACACACGTGCACTACACATTATTGACACACCTGCACTACACATTATTGACACACGTGCACTACACATTATTGACACACGTGCACTACACATTATTGACACACGTGCACTACACATTATTGACACACGTGCACTACACATTATTGACACACGTGCACTACACATTATTGACACACGTGCACTACACATTATTGACAAACGTGCACTACACATTATTGACACACCTGCACTACACATTATTGACACTCGTGCACTACACATTATTGACACACGTGCACTACACATTATTGACACACGTGCACTACACATTATTGACATACGTGCACTACACATTATTGACACACCTGCACTACACATTATTGACACACGTGCACTACACATTATTGACACACGTGCACTACACATTATTGACACACGTGCACTACACATTATTGACACACGTGCACTACACATTATTGACACACCTGCACTACATATTATTGACACACGTGCACTACATATTATTGAGACACGTGACACATTTGAGACCTTAAACGGCCTACCTTCTCATTAATTTGTTTGTGTTAAAAATTATTTTTGGCTGACTCACTGTTCTTTAAGTTTTATTTTAAACTCATTGATATTGTTCGTGGCTGGCTAACTGGCTGGCGGATTGGCTGGCTGGCTAAATTGCTGGTTGGTTGGCTGGCTTTACCATCTCCAATTCTCCAAAATAACCCCTTTTAACAGAGGTGGATATGAAGGAAGCATGATCACACTGATTTCACGAAAGGAAATTGCCAATCAATGCGCTTAATGAGATTCGTAAAAATATCTCAACTGCAATTAGAGCGTAATCTTTTTTTTTGTTGTTTTTCTGAAATAGTGTGTTAACTAAATCTCCTGTGTGGAAGCGGGTGGGTCTTTAGAATATTAATATGGTTCAGGGGCGTGGGAAATTGTGCGTTTGTGAGCTTAAAGGGGGGGGGGTGGGCGATGGGGCACTAATTTGGGATTCTTATAAAGTGCATTACTTGAATGCATGTTTTATAAAATTTTCAGATGAAACCCTTTGCTCAATGTTACATTTGATAAAGGATTTTCAGGAAAGAGTTTAATTTTAAGAGTTGTTTAATTGAAATTTAAAAAAAAAAATGATTGAAATGTAAAGGTGATGTAGCATTAATTCTTCTTTCCAGACAGTCGCCATGGGAAGGAAATATGTGCAATTCCTTTTATTTCTTACATTTATAAGTCTTCATGTGGAGAGAAGCGGTAAGTGCAAGTGTGGCTAACAATGGAATTTCTATGTAAACTAATTGGACGGTGGTTATATTTAAAATATCCAAGGAAGTCATCGAAAAAAACAACTCCACTTATTTGTTTGAATATGGATTTCTTTTTGCTTTGTTTGCTAGTTTGTATGAAACTCTTTGTGTGTATTGAAACCTGTTTGTGACAATACATTAAACATATTTTTATAATTTTTAAAATAGATGTTTTTATTCATCCTTAGAGGAGTACAATTAAAAAAAAATAATATCGTTGCAAAAGATAAGGTTTTAAAATATAAATATGCTTTGGAAAATAACAAAATGTTGTTGAATTTTGTGTAGTTCATAATCGTAGAAATTATATCTTTTTAATGAGATTCTTTTTAAAAAAAAGATTTGGATTACGTGAAAAAGAGTAATTAACGATAATGTTATACCAATATATATTGATTGAGAAAGATAGATTAACAGAGGGTTTTAATCATTTCAAGTGACTTTAGTGACATGCAAGTGGAAGGATTCCGTTCCGTCTGGTGGCCAATGTTTTCTTTTCAACAGCACGCAACTTTCCTATTCTGCTGCCCAGGTAATTATGTCGGTATTTTTGTATACTAAATCTGTGTTCTGATAAAGGTCATTGCATATTTTACTGGGCAGGAAGATAATTATAAAACATTATTGTAGCCCTTGAGACGTAACTATTGAACAATTATATGAGGTATCGACTTCTATGAAATAGTAGAGTGAGGTAAGTTGTATCTTGATTCAAAAGACAGGACATTAAGATTTGAACGTTTCGGCCTTTGATTCAAACTTCCACACAACTAATTCGACTATTTCCTTCACAGAGCTAGAACACAGTCGTTCTTTTAGCATCGACATCAGTGTTTTTTTGGTAAAGGCGATTTGAGTTGAATAAAATTTAAAATTAAAAAAAGATATCACGAGAAGGTTGTGAATTATTAGCAAGTAGACTAGACTCTATACTTAAGAGGATTGTTAATGCTTAGCTAGTAGGCTGTGATGTCTCCACTCATAAGGGTTGTTAATGCTTAGCTAGTAGGCTGTGATGTCTCCACTCATAAGGGTTGTTAATGCTTAGCTAGTAGGCTGTGATGTCTCCACTCATAAGGGTTGTTAATGCTTAGCTAGTAGGCTGTGATGTCTCCACTCATAAGGGTTGTTAATGCAGTAGACTGTAGTATTCTTACTTTAGATGGTTGAGTTAACATTTTTTCTTCACTTTTTCATAGCTCTATAATAGTTATCCTAGTTGTCTGAGTTGTGTTAGTTATCTTCGCTTAGCTCTATAATAGTTATCCTAGTTGTCTGAGTTGTGTTAGTTATCTTCGCTATTTGCGCCACCTTCACTATCGTTTACGCTATTTGCGCCACCTTCACTATCGTTTACGCTATTTGTGCTATCGGTGCTCTCTTCACGATGAAATTTAAAAAGGAGTAAACAAAAAAAAGTATTGGGAAACATTCCAATGAACTCAACATTTATGAATTCTGAAGCCTCATAAATTATTTAATCAAAATATAAACTATAAATACACTATAAAATATGTCAACATCAGGGTGAATGTCATGCAAAAGGTGGAGTTCTGGCAAAAGTGACAAAATTAAGCCAGATCATTGCTACAAGTGCGATACCACAAAAGGGTAAGTCATAGAGTATAAGGAGTTGAATTGTCATTTCAATTTTTGTAAGCGTTTCAAGTCTGTTCCATTTAAATTATTCGTGTTCAAACTTTTATATCATTTACTTCTCTAACTTTAAATTTGACTTAGCCTTTTTGTCTCATTTGCTTCTATAAGTTTTAAAATGACCTACAATACTTGTATACATTTTCTGTCATAATATACTTCTCTAAATTTCAACTTGACCTGCGTTATTTGACTAACTTTTCTGTCATATACTCTCTAAGTTTCAACTTGAACTGCATTATTTATCTCAACTGCTTCTCTAAGTTTCAACCTACTTAATTTATTTGACCCATCTGCTCATCTAAGTTTCATCTTGATCTAAGTTATTTGACAAAATCCCCACCAACTTTAAAATATTACAACTGAATGATCAATCTTTGTCTGAATAATAATTACCACGATACACGAATTGTTCTCTCTGCTGACCCTGACGACATTGATGACCTTACACCAATGACAAAAGCCAGATATTTCTCAAGTTTCAATAGAAATGGTTTAAAACAAAGCAAAATAGACGTTCCAACATTGCCACTATCTTCGGCTATTGCCATCTATCCCCAAACATTAGACAAGACAACATTCAAATAAACTATTGTGTCAGAACTCTCTAAGGCATCTATATATATCACACACACACACACACACACACACACACACACACACACACGCACACGCACATGCACACACGCACACTCACACACACACACACACAGCCTCTCAGCTCTACTTCCTGCCCCATCGGTTGTGTGTTGACTTATGAAGATAGTTTAACAATTAACCCATAACATAAGATTATTTTCTTGATTGAACTAATCTAATCACGTGGATGAATTCTTGAATGCATCGCCATTGCAGATGCTAACATGTGGATCGGTGCCAGCGATGCTGCTGTAGAAGGAACCTGGCTGTGGGATGACGGTGGTGATGTTGCCACAGAGCTTTCCGTTTTCTGGACTGATGGTGAACCAAAGACCAAAATGGGCTACGAAGACTGTGCGCAGATAGAAGTGATCTACGGCGATACAGGACTTTATTATAATTATGGCACTATTGCTAAAGACTGTAATGACCCCTACGGGTTCCTTTGTATGGAGAAAGGTATTCCATTTCAAAATCATTTTACTTTGGATATTTGGTTGAAGCGACAACGTAAAGTATAAAAGAAACATATCTCGCTGTTTACATTTAAAGTAAAACCATTTTTTCTGTCACGTGTAGAAACAATTTTATTAGACACTTATTAATAACGACGTATAAACAAAATGAACCATAATTTATGTTATCTGTCTTATCATATGACCATTATTTAAACCTAGAAAATAGGATCCATTACGAAGACATCCCATGTGAATGAAACTCATTATGAAAACATTAACTTGTTGCTAGCCTTAACAGACATCATGTGTGAATTAAACGATTCAATATCATAAAAACACTAACTTGTTGCTAGTCTTAACAGACATCATGTGTGAATTAAACGATTCAATATCATAAAAACACTAACTTGTTGCTAGTCTTAACAGACATCATGTGTGAATTAAACGATTCAACATCATAAAAACACAAACTTGTTGCTATCATAAAAACAATAACTTGGTTTGCTATAATAAAAAGACATCGCAAAATTTACAAATGTTAATATGTTTGAAAAAATCAGATCAAACTATGAGAATAAAGTAAAGATAAATTTAATCACATTCAAATTCCTCCCCTTATAATTCAAATGTCGGCTTTAAACGTTTTTAGCTATTAATATTGTATGGCTCTTAACATTGAATGGCTCTATGGCTCCAAATGTTATTTGGCTCTAATTATTGAATGGCATTAAATGTTGAATTTCTATAAATGTTGTACTGCTCTAAATGTTGTATTGCTCTAAAAGTTGAATGGCTATAAATGTGTATGACCTAAAGGTTATATGACTCTAAATGTTGTATGGCCTAAATGTTGTATTGCTCTAAATGTTGTTCGACTCTAAATGTTGTATGGCTCTAAATGTTGTTGGGCTCTAAATGTTGTATGGATCTAAATGTTGTATGGTTCTAAAACTTTGTATGGCTCGAAATGTTGTATGGATCTAAATGTTGTATGGATCTGAATGTCGTTTTGATCTAAATGTTGTACGGCTCTAAATGTTGTACGGCTCTAAATGTTGTATGGCTCTAAATGTTGTATGGCTCTAAATGTTGTATGGCTCTCAATATTGTTTTGATCAAAATGTTGTACGACTCTAAATGTTGTATGGCTCTAAATGGTGTACGGCTCTAAATATTGTATGGCTCTAAAAGTTGTATAGCTCTAAATTTTGTATGGCTCTAAATGTTGTACGGCTCCAAATGTTTTACGGCTCTAAATGTTGTATGGCTCTAAATGTTGTATGGCTCTAAATGTGGCATGGCTCTAAATGTTGTAAGGCTCTAAATGTTGTATGGCTCTAAATGTTGTATGGCTCTAAATGTTGTATGGCTCTAAATGTTGTATGGCTCTAAATGTTATATGGCTCCAAATGTTTTTTTGATCTAAAGGTGGTTTTCATCTAAATGTTGTATTGCTCTGAAAGTTGTATGGCTCTAAATGTTGTACGGCTCTAAATGTTGTTCGACTCTAAATGTTGTATGGCTCTAAATGTTGTATGGCTCTAAATGTTGTATGGCTCTAAATGTTGATTTGAACTAATTGTTTTATTGCTCTAAATGTTGTATGGCTCTAAATGTTGTATGGCTCTAAATGTTGTTTTGATCTAAATGTTGTATGGCTCTAAATGTTGGATGACTCTAAATGTTGTATGGCTCTAAATGTTATACGGCTCTAAATGTTGTATGGCTCTAAATGTTGTATGGCTCTAAATGTTGTACTGCTCTAAATGTTGTTTTGATCTAAATCTTGTATGGCTCTAAATGTTGGATGACTCTAAATGTTGTATGGCTCTAAATGTTGTATGACTCTAAATGTTGTATGGCTTTAAATGTTGTACGGCTCTAAATGTTGTATGGATCTAAATGTGTATGGCTCTAAATGTTGTATTGCTCTAAATGTTGTTTTGATCTAAATGTTATACGGCTCTAAATGTTGTATTGCTCTAAATGTTGTATTGCTCTAAATGTTGTTTTGATCTTAATGTAGTTTTCATCTAAATGTTGTATGGCTCTAAATATTGTATGGCTCTAAATGTTGTATGGCTCTAAATGTTGATTTGAAGTAATTGTTTTTTTGCTCTAAATGTTGTATGGCTCTAAATGTTGATTTGAACTAATTGTTTTATTGCTCTAAATGTTGTATGGCTCTAAATGTTGTTTTGATCTAAATGTTGTATGGTTCTAAATATTGTATGGCTCTAAATGCTGTTTGGCTCTAAATGTTGTATTGCTCTAAATGGTGTTTTGATCTAAATGTTGTACGGCTCTAAATGTTGTATGGCTCTAAATGTTGTATTGCTGTAAATGTTGTATTGCTCTAAATGTTTTATGGCTCTAAATGTATTTTTGATCTAAATTTTTTTTAAAATTTAAATGTTGTTTTGATCTAAATGTTGTACTGCTCTAAGTGTTTTATGGCTCTAAATGTTGTATGGTTCCTAAACGTTTATTACAAAAATACTAATTTGATATTTACTAACAAGACCTGTGTGAAAGTTAAGGAGATTATCTTGCGGTCAAGATAGATAATAAGTAAGATAACGTTTTAACAAGATCACCACTGAATGAAACCTAAAATTTATTTCATCGATTTTACAGAGGAGACGACAACTTCGGAACTGACCACAACTCCGGAACTGACCACAACTCTGGAACTGACCACAACTCCGGAACTGACCACAAGTGCAGAATCGGTAGCGTCAACTTCCATATCCGAATGTCCACAGAAAAATGGGGCGAAGTTCACCAACTTCAAAGTTCTGTTGTTTTTACCTTTGAGTGCATTCAGGTCTCTAGTGATTCGTTGTTCTTACCTTTGAGTGCATTCAGGTCTCTAGTGATTCGAATTTAACTGCGTGTCTTTTTTTTTTATTTTTATTTCTTCAATGTTTGATTCCATACAGGAACCCAGTTTTTGCTTTGGCATCAATTTAAACAACAAGATTTTAGGTCTAATTAACTCGTCATGTGTGCGTGCCTTCATTTAATCTATGTGTGTGAACTCAAGTGTGCTGGTTTGTTTGCATTTTATTTATTTTTATTTTCTTCATTTTTTATTTCCTACAGGAAATTATTTTTTTTGCTTTGGAAGATTTTATTGAAAAAAACAAACCCACCCCAAAAAGTGTTCTTATGTCTAAATGGGGGAACAACATATGCTTTACATAAGAACAACATATGCTTTACATAAGAACAACATATGCTTTACATAAGAACAACATATGCTTTACATAAGAACAACATATGCTTTACATAAGAACAACATATGCTTTACATAAGAACAACATATGCTTTACATAAGAACATCATATGCTTTACATAAGAACAACATATGCTTTACATAAGAACAACATATGCTTTACATAAGAACAACATATGCTTTACATAAGAACAACATATGCTTTACATAAGAACAACATATGCTTTACATAATAACAACATATGCTTTACATAAGAACAACATATGCTTTACATAAGAACAACATATGCTTTACATAAGAACAACATATGCTTTACATAAGAACAACATATGCTTTACATAAGAACAACATATGCTTTACATAAGAACATCATATGCTTTACATAAGAACAACATATGCTTTACATAAGAACAACATATGCTTTACATAAGAACAACATATGCTTTACATAAGAACAACATATGCTTTACATAAGAACAACATATGCTTTACATAATAACAACATATGCTTTACATAAGAACAACATATGCTTTACATAAGAACAACATATGCTTTACATAAGAACAACATATGCTTTACATAAGAACAACATATGCTTTACATAAGAACAACATATGCTTTACATAAGAACAACATATGCTTTACATAAGAACAACATATGCTTTACATAAGAACAACATATGCTTTACATAAGAACAACATATGCTTTGCATAAGAACAACATATGCTTTACATAAGAACAACATATGCTTTACATAAGAACAACATATGCTTTACATAAGAACAACATATGCTTTGCATAAGAACACACTGATGACGCTAATGGTCTGTATGCAGCTTAGCTGCAAGCAATCAACTTCAAATGTTTGGGAGCTGTGTCCGAAATTAGTAAGAAACCACCTAATTTAAACCACTTTGAAAGAAAGGAATATTGCTCGAAAGAAACGTTGTTTGAATGGAACTAATGATAACAAAACTACAAACACCAGTGTTATTAAACACACATTCTATTGGAAAAAAAATACTTTGAAAAAGTTTTCATCTAAAAAAAAAATATTTTAAACCAACTTCCATTCAAACAGCTTTCATTTTTAAAGAAATTACGTTTCATATTCATCCCCAGTTACAGTTTTAGACATGTTATTATAATCTAGGCGTTTAACTCTTCTTTATAGTAAATATTTAGTGACAATTATCCCAAGTTGTATGACATCAGCAAGCGTATCTGTGTTAAATCTTCTGTTCTAATCGATGGAATGCCTTAATTAATTGATTGACGTTATTGACGGAATGACTTAATTGAATGATTGACGTAATTTATAGCCTGTCTTAATTAATTGCACGACATAATTAATTTTATGACTTAACTGATTGCATCAATTAATTGATGGAATGATAATTGATGTAATACTTCAAATGATTCCTCTTCTTATTATTCCGTTTTACCCTGTCTTGGGCTTAGGCCGTCCACAAGAAATATCCATTCGTCACGGTCCTGTGCTTTCCATTCCCATTGCTTCCAGGTTTATCCCATATTTTGCGTGTCTACCTCTAGCTCACGTCTCCAAGTATTCTTTGGCTTTCCTCTCTTTCTTTTTACCTTTTGGATTCCATACTAAGGGTTGTTCTAATGATGCTATATGGGGGTTTTCGGAGAGTGTGCCCTATCCACCTCTATCTTTTCCTTACAGTGTCTTCATCAATGGGCATCTGGTAAAACATTTCTAGTAGATCCCTGTTGGTGATGGTATTTCGCCATTTGATCTTTAGGATCTTTCTAAGCTAAGGCATGTGCTTATGAAGGCCTGAAATGTTTTGAAGCTAAATGATTGCTTGAATAGATTGATGGAATGACTTCATTTGTGGCATGACTTACTTTGATATTTTATACAAACAAGTCTTTATATCATTTAATATTTATTTATTTTAATTTATTTATTCAAAAAAATTTAAACAAAACATAATCGGAACCAATAAACAAACTAATAATGAATTTGAACAGTTCATTTTTATTTGTCTGTGCTTATTGTTTAAACATTAGTTCATATACTTATATGAAATATTAAAAGAATTTGATCTATTGTTATCTTCATCAAAAATGGAACATTTTTTGCCATGTTTTTTACATTAGAAATTATCAAAAAATCGTAAAATAAAGAATGCTTTGATCTCAAGAAGATTCTAACTAACGTTGTTCAGGCCTACAACAGACTTGCCACGCCTACAACAGACTTGCCACGCCTACAACAGACTTGAGGGTCTTTTTAAAAAAAATTAACCTCATCAAAATACACACCTTGTTACTTTGTGCAAAGTAAAAACAAAATTGTATTTTCATATTTTGATGGTAAATATTAACCGAACTCTATTTTTCAAAATTAATTTTTAAAGTGTGTAAAATGATTGGGTTTTGATATTTATGAGTAGACAGATATAAATGATATAAATTATATAAATTATATAAATGTACCCACGATTTAGTAACGCCTTAAAAATTTCTCTTAGATGTTTAATATATTATGTTTATTTGTAAAAAGAGAATGTAACATTTAATTTTTCAAAAATGTAATACCATAGGATTTAAATATATTAACATCCACGTGAAAATGTACCCATCCGTTTTCCTACCTCTGATACGTATATACCCAAGAAGGTTAATTATTTATCCAATTCATTCCTTTTTTTTGAGACGTATCTTGTGCTGCCTGGGGCAAAGCAACCAAACCTCCCCCTACCGGATTTAAATAAAATTAGAAAATCTTAAAAATCTTCCACCGGATTGTAGTCCCTTCCATACCCAAACTAACATATTTTGCACTTCATATGGTTCGTTCTTATTTGTATGAGTTATAAGTGGATTAGTCAATGCTATTTGGCTATGGAGATGCGCTGCACTGACTGCCTTATTTTCTTATTAGAAGTATATTTTAAGGTAAGGTTTTATTACGTTATAAATTTAATAGAAATTTATTTTTTGGAATTAAAAAAGTAAAGTTATTAAATGTTAAAAATACAAAAAGCTAAAATGTCTGTGCGTTTTATTAACAATTTAAAGAGCCTTCAATTAAATTTATAAATTTTAATTTTAAGAAGGTGGCAATACTTGATCAGTTTTTTAACGCGCTATTCTTCAATCAAAAAAACCTAAGAGTTTTAGCTAACTTTGGCGATTCGCGCTATGATGTCATTTGCATGTTTATCTTAAAATTCATTTTAATTTTGTTTCGCAATATTAACAACGCACTAAAAATGCAAAGCTAAAAAACCAAAGCTATAGACAGCACATAATATTTAGGTTACATTAAAAGTATTGCATCTAGAACAAACCAAAGCTATATGACAGCACATTGACATAATCTTTAGGTTACATTAAAAGTATTGCATCTAGAACAAAGCAAAGCTATATGACAGCACATAATCTTTAGGTTACATTAAAAGTAGTGCATCTAGAACAAACCAAAGCTATATGACAGCACCAAATCTTTAGGTTACATTAAAAGTATTGCATCTAGAACAAACCAAAGCTATATGACAGCACATAATCTTTAGGTTACATTAAAAGTATTGCATCTAGAACAAACCAAAGCTATATGACAGCACCAAATCTTTAGGTTACATTAAAAAGTATTGCATCTAGAACAAACCAAAGCTATATGACAGCACATAATCTTTAGGTTACATTAAAAGTATTGCATCTAGAACAAACCAAAGCTATATGACAGCACCAAATATTTAGGTTACATTAAAAGTATTGCATCTAGAACAAACCAAAGCTATATGACAGCACCAAATCTTTAGGTTACAATAAAAGTATTGCATCTAGAACAAACCAAAGCTATATGACAGCACCAAATATTTAGGTTACAATGAAAGTATTGCATCTAGAACAAACCAAAGCTATATGACAGCACCAAATATTTAGGTTACAATGAAAGTATTGCATCTAGAACAAACCAAAGCTATATGACAGCACCAACTCTTAAGGTTACAATGAAAATATTGCATCTAGAACAAACCAAATGAATATTAGATTACAACTTTTTACTTAGATTATTTACATGTTGTACATGTTGTACATGTTGTACATTTTTATACACTTTTTAAATACCGGAAAAAATTATGTCTAAAATTTATTTTTGACACCTGATAATCACACGGTCGTGTTACAGTCTCAAACCTTGACACCCAATAATCAGACAGTAGTATTACAGTGTCAAATCTTGACACCCAATAATCACACAGTAGTATTACGGTGTCAATTCTTGACACCCAATAATCACACCGTAGTATTACAGTGTCAAATCTTGACACACAATAATCACACAGTAGTATTACAGTGTCAAACCTTGACACACAATAATCAAACAGTAGTATTACCGAGTCTAAATTTGACCCCCAATAATCTCACAGATGTTTTACAGTGTCAAAACTTAACAACAATAATCACACTGAAGGGTTACAGTGTCAAACCCTGACACTCAATAATCACATAGAAGTTACTGTGTCAATCCTCGACACCCGATAATCACACGGTAGTGCTGGTGTCAAACCTTGACTCTGAATAAAAGTCTTAAGATAAAAATAGTCCCTTGTAAGGCTGTTGCTGACCCCATTCTGAACCAGGAAACAAGCCAAGTCCCTTGTAAGGCTAGTTGCTGACCACATTCTGAACCAGGAAACAAGCCGAGTCCCTTGTAAGGCTAGTTGCTGACCACATTCTGAACCAGGAAACAAGCCGAGTCCCTTGTAAGGCTAGTTGCTGACCACATTCATAACCAGGAAACAAGCCGAGTCCTTGTAAGGCTGTTGCTGACCCCATTCTTAACCAGGAAACAAGCCGAGTCCCTTGTAAGGCTAGTTGCTGACCACATTCTGAAGTAGTCCCTTGTAAGGGTAGTTGCTGACCACATTCTGAACCAGGAAACAAGCCGAGTCCCTTGTAAGGCTAGTTGCTGACCACATTCATAACCAGGAAACAAGCCGAGTCCTTGTAAGGCTGTTGCTGACCCCATTCTAAACCAGGAAACAA